TGTCCAGGGCCTCACTAAGATGGACTGGTACATTTTCAGAGGGTTGGTCTGCCGGCATGAGGTTCGGAGACGTGGACTGAGTATTTTTTTTGACACTGGTTCCTCTTAGCTCAAGGGCCAGGCAAAAGGAGAGCATGTTTGTTTTGGACTGAGTATTGTTTGACACTGGTTCCTCTTAGCTCAAGGGCCAGGCAAAAGGAGAGCATGCTTGTTTTGGACTGAGTATTGTTTTGACACTGGTTCCTCTTAGCTCAAGGGCCAGGCAAAAGGAGAGCATGCTTGTTTTGGACTGTGTATTTTTTTGACACTGGTTCCTCTTAGCTCAAGGGCCAGGCAAAGGAGAGCATGTTGGAGATGGACTGAGTATTTAATTTTGACATTGGTTCTCTAGTTAAGGGCCAGGCAAAGGGGAGCGTGATGTTCTGGTTGGATTGAGTTGGGCTAGGAAGAAATGGAGTTGCTAGCTGCGAGTGGAATAGTACAGAGTTGAAGGTGGGTTCTAAGTTGTTCTCTCAGCACATGAGGGCAGTGCTGTCTTTTTTAGGGGGGTCGAGTGTTAGCGGGAGAGAAAAGGAGAGAAGAGAAGACGGGAATGCTGCATTTAGCAAAAGGGGTGAGGTGCAGTCCTTAGAACAAAATTTTAGGGGGGTCGTATGCATGTTTTCTCAGCACATGAGGACAGTGCTGTCTTTTTTTAGGGGGGTCGATTGTGATATCCAGAAATTTCAGAGTAATTTCAAATGCCCCGCCATGAGTGATACTGAGCGTTCAAGGTCATCTGAGGGGAGGGAGCGCTGCCTGCTCGTAGCGAGAGATTGCGGAACTAGGCCTATATGATATTAAATATGATTTACCGAATTAATAATGATGCGATTCATGAAGTTAAGGGACTATTATTGAATTTGAAATTATTATAGATCGTTTAGCAGTCTGAATAATGTTACGGGTGTCCCAAGGAGTTATTAGTTAGGCGGAAAATATATCACGTAGGCCCAAGCTAGCGCCTTGGGGAGACGCGACGCTGGCTAGGCCCAGTCCCGGAGAGCATTCACACAGACAAGACGTTCCGCGCGTCCATCAGAAATAGTCACGTGGCCTAGTCACCTGTGCTGCGCTATTGCAGTATAACAAGTAAGTCTCATTCGATCTCAGACAGGGTTAGATAGGGCAGTGATAAAGTTAACTAGAGCTAACAGTGAGTTCATTTCAGGGTTTCCGTCAGAACCCACTTGACTGGAGTTGACCGGAGTTTGACTGCGAGAGATTGACTGCCGTTTGAGACTGCCGTTGATGATTGAGGGTGGCGACTGTCGCCATTGGACCGATCAGAGTAGGCCTGTCACTGTTTAGCGGGGTACCAAAGGATCTCTTGAGGGAATCTAGCCGTCTGGGTGCCCAGCTGACGTCGGCTCACAACACCACATGTCCAGAGCCGCTTAGTGAAACCCTCTTGCTAACGGGAAGCTAAAGCTCCTCTCAACTGCACAGGGTCTGATTGGCTCACTCTCTTCCTGCCCATGGACGCACTGGGAGTACACTGGGGCTATCTGAGTATATTAATGGTCACACACTGAGACCGTGAGTCTAGGATTCTAGGAGATACCTAGAGGAACATTTTATCTTCCTTATTACGGGTGTAGTTAACACCATTCCTCAGACTGATATTATCTTGACGTGTGTAGTTTAATATTTCTTAAATAATTTCTGATAGTAGTGTTTTTTTGAATGTTTGTGCCATTAAGTGGAACCAGAGTGATACTGTGATTTGATTCTTTTAATGCCTCTAATTGTTCTTCATAATTCTGATCTCAGGTATAACCTTGTTCCCCAGAGTAGTGGTTAGGTTAGGTTAGGAAGTGTACATCTGTTGGGGTGCTATAATTTTGTTGAAAGCCCTTAAGGCCTATTCATTGTAGAGTAGTTAATTTCTTATTTTTTAATACCATTTCCTAAGTGACTGATATTATTTTGTGAAAGCCCTTAAGAGGCCTGTTTCATGTGTGCAAGCAACATTTCTTAATACTTCAAATTTATTGTTGCCTGTGTTTCTAATAATTTCTATGTCATTTATAACTTTTATTCCCCAGAGTAGTGTTTTAAGTTTAAGTTAAGAGGTGCGCATATTGGTGTACCATTATTTGATTGTGTTTGTAGTGTTGGAGGGAATATAAGTGTCTAAATTTTACAGTGTGTCTCATTCATCCCAGTCACAGACGCTATCCTTCCACGGGTCACGGACAGTTCATTTTGTGTAGTAGATTTAAGTGTTCTTGTGCTGGTTCGGGATTTTTCTCAAAGGGGCGCTTCCACTGCCATTACCATCTATTAATTTTTAATAAACCCCAAGTCAAGTGAGAAATTAAAGTCCAGCAAATTCCGACCGGTTACATATATATATATATATATATATATATATATATATATATATATATATATATACAGTAATACCCTGCTTAACACGGTTTCGCTTAGCGCGATTTCACGTATACGCGGTGCCTCGCCAGAGCTGAACTTTCACTTAACGCGGGTTTTTTCCACGTATACGCGCAGAGTGTCCGGCTCCAGAGCTATTTTTAGATTCGCCCCACCCCCCACCTGCCACCCTGCCTGCCTGTTTTATCTCATAAAATTCATACAAATTACCCGGCCAGAATATAATTTACATTGCTGGAATTCTTACAATATGATGATCATTTTGAATATAAACATCATAGATTTTGCATTAGACATACAAATTTTAGATATAATGTTTACTCTGAGTAAATATGTTATTTTTTGTGCAAAATATATGACATTTGTATTCAAAATATTCCTGGTCTTACAAGGAATCCAGCAATGTCAATTATATAATCCTAACTTTAGTTTGAGGTATTATTTATTACTAAAAAGGTAAATATTCTGGTTTTCCAACACATCTGGTAGGGACGGTTGGTGGGGGGTGGGGGGGAGGGAGGGACCGACCGACCATCTGTTACCGTGTGAAGAATATATTTTTTTTTATTAACTGAAGATATTTGTTTTAGCTCATAAAATTCATACAAATTACCTGGTCAGAATATAATTTACATTGCTGGAATTCTTACAATTTGATGATCATTTTGAATATAAACATCATAGATTTTGCATTAGACATACAAATTTTAGATATAATGTTTACTCTGAGTAAATATGTTATCTTTTGTGCAAAATATATGACATTTATATTCAAAATATTCCTGGTCTTACAAGGAATCCAGCAATGTCAATTATATTATCCTAACTTTAGTTTGAGGTATTATTTATTAAAATTTAGTGGTTCCCCCGCAAAATTTCTCAGAGAGGGAAGAGCCAGCGAGTGTAATGTGAGAAGAGGGGGAGGGAGTTGAGTCCATTATTTGAATGGACATTAACTTGGCGACTGCATTTCTCTATTTCTCTTAAGTATTAATTGTGTGCATGTACCACCATAAAATTAAGATGTTATTTTTACTAGAACATAGGTATTGTGTCGGAAAAAGTAGAGTTTGGGGGTCCGGCCAGTCTCTATTGGAATTAATCCCATATGTTCTGTTGTTCACTTAACGCGGTTTTCACTTAACACGGTACCCTGTGGGAATATTTTGAATGTAAACTTCATATATTCTGCACAAAGGATAAAATATTTGCTTTGTGTAAACCAAATTATTACATAAGATCTAAAATTTGTATGTCTAATGCAAAATCCATGATGTTTATATTCAAAATGATCATCATATTGTAAGAATTCCAGCATTGTAAATTATATTCTGGCCGGGTAATTTGTGTGAATTTTATGAGCTAAATAAAAAAAAATAATAAAAATTATTATTCTCCACCGCGTATATGAGTAGATGCACTGCGGAAAGTGAAAGTCCAGTTCTGGCAAGGTACCGCGTAAATGAGAAATCGCGGAAAGTGAAACCATGTAAAGCGGGGTAATACTGTATATATATATAAGCTTATTTTGGTCATTGGTCAACCATTATCCTCAAGTATTACTCAAACATAATTCCATCTTCACTAATGATGCTTGAAGTACGTCTAGCACAGTGGTTCTCAAACTGGGGGCCATGGCCCCCCAAGGGAGCCACAGCAAGCATTTAGGGGAGCCACAGCGGGCTGTTATAAATTGTACGTTTCCAAATAATGTTGGGAATCTGAATTAAACAAAACTTATATTACTTATTTTGACTTGGCTGAAGAGAATTTTCATTCTTTTTTTTGTTATTTTGTTTAATCATAATGACAATACAATTTTAATATTTACATACTCTGGTGCTATTTTTTTTATTTTTTACGGATTATTTAAGATTTCACATGTCCAGTCCCTGTCTGTGTGACAGGCACTGGACCGAGCTGCTGAACCGACTTGTTCAGTACGTGTCCATGTGTCATCCCTTTGCAAGTGGTGATAGGACCGAATAATCTCAGTCTGGCCTGGGATACCATCATGAAAACAGTGGAGGCCACGAGGATGTTGAAAATTCCTCAAGGGGGAATGGAGTGAAAAAGGTTGAGAACCAGTGGTCTAGCAACTATCACATGCGCCGATCTCAGCTGATTTCTTCTTCTCTTGTAATTGGTTGATGATTTTGTTAAATGAGCGATGATTGGCCAACTAGCTCCTGCACTGCCATCTACCTTCGGACAAGAGAACTGAATTTACAGGGTGAACACTAAAGTTTGGACTGCTTACGGGACTGTAATTAAATTTTGAGTATGAGAAATTTACGGGACTGTAAGGAGTCTGTAAGTTACAGTACCATATCTCTGCTATTGTATGTAAATGATGAGATGTTTTGAGTATGCGGCCCCAGGTAAATAAAATGCTGTAAATTTAAAGTTTAACCCCTTTCGTATTGGCGGGCATTCCTAAATCGGACGTTAGTAAGTCTGGGATCCCCTGTATACTGTATTGTACTGCATTTACACTCTTTTTTAAATACACAACATAAACATACAGTACCATTTACTCTCTCTAAGAATAAACAATATAAACATACCATTTCAGCTTTCTTTCTGAGGACCTCCAACTCCCATTGTAAAGCTTCTTTTTTACTGGTCAGGACCTTCACCTGTGCCTGACTTGTCTGAAATATAAAATTCTTCAAATTATTATGAAATTATTGGATATACAAATTTTCATCTTAACCACAAAATTTCAAAATACAGTCGGCCTTTAACATACGCGGGTTTACAATACACGGATTTGCAAATACGTGGATTGCCCTGCCAGAGGAATATTCTGTACACTGAAGTAATTGAAGTACATTCAAATCCCGCGCCATTCAACTCACGCGCGGCCTCGCGCGAGGCACCGAACACGGGACACCACCCGCTCCCGCAACCTCACACACACGCATAGCACGTCACGCCACCCCGCTCTCTCACTCAGTCTCACTGTAACGACGCTTGTGTTGACATCAGAATTGTAGTTGCTACCCTTGCTACCCATATTTATTTACCATGGCCCCTAAAAGAGTATCAAAGACACCAGCTGGAGTCACCCTTAAGTGGCAGAAGAAAGTGATGGCTCTGCAGGAGAAGGTGGAGTTGCTGAATCGGTTAAGGGAGGGAACGTCTTTCGCTGCTGTGGGGCGGCTGTATAACGTGAACGAAAGCACCATACGTACCATCAAGAAAAAGGAAAAAGATATCTGTGATGCTGTAAGTGCCAGTGCTCCACGCAGTGTTAAGCATGCCAGCCAAGTGAGGGAGAAGGCAATGGTGAAGATGGAGAAATGCCTTGTTTTTGTGGATAGAGGACCAGCATCGGAAAGGTGTAGTAGTGGACTCTATCCTTATCCGGGAGAAAGCTAAGTCTCTACACACATACTTCACGCCTGCAGCTAAGGAACCCGTACCCAGTACCAGTGCTGCTACCCCCACACCTGAGACACCTCAGACACCTCCGACACCTTTCCAAGCCAGCAAGGGGTGGTTTGACAATTTCAAGCGTCGATTTGGCCTGAAGGATGTGAAGATAACTGGGGAGGCTGCGTCAGCAGACACCATGGCTGCAAAAGCTTTCCCAGCAGAGTTTAAAGCAATACTCGAGGAGCAGAGTTACAAGCCAGAACAAGTTTGGAATATAGACGAAACAGGTAAGACAATAAATTACTACTGTACATTTAACCTTAAAAATGCTAAAATACCTGTTGTACTGTACGTACTGTATTGTGTTGTAAGAGAAAATGGGATAAATGCGTCTGAGTTTTATACAGTAGCTTTTATATTTTTATTCCGTAGTGATTTACCATACAGTGTGGTGTAATATTTTTATACCAATTTTGATACCATATATGTATAATAGTACAGGGTGTACTACGAGTATTTTCTTTTCCAACAGGTTTGTTCTGGAAAAAGAGGCCACAGCGCACTTTCATCGCCCAAGAAGAATGCCGTGCACCAGGATTCAAGGCAGCCAAGGACAGGTGCACCGTGCTATTTTGTGGCAATGCTGCGGGTCACCTCATTCGCCCAGGCTTCATATACAAGTCTAAGAAACCGCGTGCATTCAAACACAGGGACATGAGCTTGCTGCCTGTTTTCTGGATGTACAATAAGAAGGCCTGGACAACGAGCGACCTGTTTCTCAACTGGTTCCACCATTGTTTCCTGCCAGAGGTTGAACGCTACCCGCACCAGAAAGGATTTGAGTTCAAGATCCTGCTAATCCTCAACAATGCTCCTGGTTATCCACAGTCAGTGGAGGTGCTGCATGAAAAGGTACAGGTGTTGTTCCTTCCACCCAACACCACTGCACTTATCCAGCCAATGGACCAGGGACTTATCAAGACGTTCAAAGCTAACTACAGTAAATGTGTGATGGCCAGACTGCATTCAGCCTTAGACCATGACCAAAACCTGGATGTGCTTCAGTACTGGAAGAGCTTCAACATTGCCAACTGCTTATCTTTGGTGGCTGAATCTTTCAAGGATGTGAAGCCTGAGACAGTGAATGCCTGCTGGAAACCACTGTGGCCTGAATGTGTGAAAGATTTCACTGGATTTTCTCCTGACGAAGCCATCGCAGAGGCGGTGAAAAAGACCCAGGCACTGTCAAGGAAAGTGGCTGTTGAAGGCTTCCAGGACATGGCAGAGGACAAGATTAGGGAGCTAATCGAAGAGCACAACATTGAGCTGACCGAGGAGGATCTACAGGAGTTAGTAGACTCAGGCAAGGAAGAGGAAGAGGAAGCGAAAGGGAAAGAGGATGAGGAAGAGCACCAAGAAATAACGTTGGAGAAGTTGGGGGAGATGACCAGGATGATTGAGGCACTGAAAAACCTGGCCTATAGTATGGACCCCTCCATGGTGCGTGCCCTGAAATTCATGCGAGGGACGGATGACGTTTTTGTTCCATACAAAAACATCATGGAAGAAATGAAAAGAAAGAGACGACAACTCCCCATCACCATGTTCTTTGATCGCCGTTAAGTGAAAGTTCGGTTCTGGCGAGGCACCGCGTATATGAGAAATCGCGTTAAGTGAAACCGCGTTAAGCGGGGTACAACTGTAGTTTGAAATATTGCACAATAGATTCCTTAAACAACTTTAAAATAGGGTGGAGCAGAATTATATTGAATAAAAGAGATAGAAGAGTTCAAGAAGTAGGAAATGGAGTGATACCACAGGTGAATATCATAGAAAATGCACTGTTAAAAGGGATAACTATTTTAACATATATAATTTTAAAATATCTAATAAAATAACAGCAAATAAAGAACTATCAGTAAAGGACTCACCTTAACCCTTTAGGTGCGTAATTAAATTTCGCGCCTGTTCCTGAAAAGTGTCAATTATCCTGCCAAAAATGAATTTCATATAATCACATTTTCTATATGTTTTTCCTAGAGAACTTTTAGTATATTTTCCAAATCTGGAACAAAAATTCACATATGTGTGCAAATTTTAGAGAAAAAATGACATTTATACCCAAAAATGCAGGAAATTGGTATAAATCAATGTCTGGTATATGGCAAATAAATTTAATCAATTTGGTTACTAAACAGCAAATTTAGATATGTATTACATATTCAGATAATATCAAACAAAATAGTACAAAAATAAGCTATATTGCATTCAGGAAATACTCCTATACCTCAATACATAATATGTCCGCATGTCGTCTCATTTGGGGAAGTTTTTTCAAGGCCGTGGGATATCCCCGCTTGTCGCATTTAATTAATATAATATTTTGGGCGGGTTTACCCGCATGCCGCATCCAAAGGGTTAAAGTCAATGTATAACGGCGTATAGATGCTTTTGACAAAGGCTCTACAAGTCATTTGAAAGGCATTGAACTCAAGGCGGATCCAGCAGGGGGGACCCTCCCTTTTCATCAGAAAACTCCAATACTTTTCCTTATTGCAACACAGTATTGTACTCAGGCATTTTTGTATATCAGTCAACCCTCGCTTTACGCGGTCCCACTTTAGGCGTTTCCACGTTTACGCGGTACCCTGCCGAACACGGAATGCTCACTTTCCGCAGTGTGTGTACCCTTTTACGCAGAGAGCGGTGCGAGCAGGGTGTGCACAAGGTCGCCCAGTCATCAAAACATTACCGAGTTCTTCACCCGCCACCCACCACAGCCGGCCCAAGTCAGTGATAGTGATAGTGATAATGATAGTGAGGATATGGACTTATATGGACTTTGAGGGGTTTGACAAAGAGGCCTTGCAAGCCTCTGTGGTGGATAGTGATACAATTGATACAAGTGATACAGGTGAGGGCCAATAATCTGCCCTCTGCCTCGGAACCAACCCCCCATCCCCGTGTGCCCAGCCATCTTTTCTACAAATGTAAGTGTTAAAAAACCTAATATTATTGATATTTCTCTTAATTATTAATTGTGTGTGCATACCATCATAAAATTAAGAAGTTATTTTTACTACAACGTAGGTATTGTGTCTGAAAAAGTGGAGTTTGGGGGTCGGCCCGGTCTCTATTTCAATTAATCCCATATGTTATGTTGTTCACTATACGGGCCGCCGTGGGTTCAATTGACCGCGTAAAGTGAGGGTTCACTGTCTTAGTAAAAATTAATTACTATTGACCTCAGAATATTGACCAATATCAAGTGCACATGGCTTCAAAATGGCCTCAAAATGTCCATGATATTGGTCAGATTTAAAAAAAATTATGGGGACTTACAGCTACGCCCCTCCCCCCCCAGATGGCTCGCTTTGCTGTCCAGGTTCCCCCACCCAAAAATTCTTCGACCCTCCCCATTTTGATATTCCTGGATCCGCATGTTTTCGGTGTTTAGTATATGATAGTGTTCTTTTCATTTTTTCTAGTATGCAATGGTGTTGTTTTCGGTGTTCAGATGAGGAGGGGATACATAAACTCAAAATCAATTCGTAAAATTTTTACAAGTTAGGAAAGGTTAGGTAAGGTTTTCAAAGGTTGTTTGGTGTTATTTTTAGTATTTTACCCCACATATTTCTTTGTACAGTGAGCCCTCGAAGATTTAGACCCAGTAAATCCGGATTTCGGAAGATTCGGACAAAATTTGGGGGTTCCAGGGGCTAAGAAGCCTCCCTAAAAAGCATTACCAAAACAGAGCAAAGATCATCTTAGGCCCGTGTAACTAAGATGTCAGCGCACGGGACACAGGTGCCTGAGGCAGGAAATGCCTTCTGAGCGTTTAAAGGTTAATCACACTTTCCACGTTAAACTCGAACGTTAAAAATCGGTCAAACCTGTTGAATACAATTCATTATAGTATTTCAAATTAATAATACATAGACAATCATACATAAATGTTTAATCCAATATATATTCATATAACAATCATAGCTATGTAATTAGTCTAATCTTAACACTTATAATGAGTACTTAATTTGCCATATTTCTATGTTGTCACAATGATAACTGATGCAATGGACACAGTCTACCTGCATAAACTTAAGTACAAGTTAAACTTACGTGTTGAAAGTCTCAATAGAAACATGTTTGGTGTTGACTCTATGATGGGGATAGCTACAGTGGTAGTGCCCTGCCCGGCGTCACATGCCCAGCCCTGGCTGGCCGACTTTGCTGCGTCAGGCGTTTATACGCAAACAAGCTCCCCTTACTACCA